TATTGGCCTTTTCAAGGGGGAGAGACATATACATATGCATGTCAAAAGGGGAAGGCACACTCATGTGCATATGACAGAAAAGGAAAGACAGACTGTGCATACACATAGCCGTACAAATGCATGAATTGAACCGGGTTTCCATTTCTACCTCTTGTTAAACGTTATTAAACAAATTTGGGTTCATAAAATCGTGGTTAATGGAGTTCAGATGGTCGTCGAAATCGTGTAGGTTGAGATACCTGCGAAGAGGGGGCGGGGAAAAAGGCAACATGAGCACATCGTTAATCCGTGCATAGCTTCGTGTTAATCATATGACACGGCTACACCCAAGATAGGAAAAACATCGTTTAGCAGGAACTTGTGTCATTTTTCTCCAATCGAATTTTACTCATTGTTCGAAAGGCTCGTTTTCAGGAACTCCTTATTATTTCGGGTCACTTCCACGTCGAAATTTTTCCATTCCTCCGTAGCATCGTCTTGCATGAATACCTAAAATGGTTTTAAAAAAAAAAAAAGAAGAAAAGGCCATCCATTTGTGAGCTTCGTGTGTGTGTAAACCATATCATGATGGATAGGCCTCTCGAAACATTTTTTTTTCTGGAGTTAAAGCCATTCCATGTGGTATCATTACGTTTAAGCAATTAGCATCATCACGCTCCAGCTTGGACAAGTGAACTAGACATATCATGGCATCGCTATAATTCTCCACCAATTTGTTGGCTATTAGTTCACAAATTTTTACGCTTTTTATGTCGTCATTTTTTGACTCTTCCATGCTTATGTGGTAATATCCGAGAATCCGTTCTTCCTTGCCTTTGTAGTGGTTCTCCACCTGGGTGTGTGTGTGCGAGGGAAGTCGCGAGGAGGTGGAATGGGATGAGCGCAATGGTCATGATTATCATAATATCGTGATAATCGCGTGCAAGCTTGTTCTCCTGATTGCAGTCTGTTTGCACAGATGAGGGTGATCACGAAAGGGAAACAGCATCCACGAATCCCCCCAGTAATATCAGCACATGAACGGAACGACGAATGGTGCAAGCAGCTATCTTGAGCGCAACTGCGTGCAAGAAACTGTGTCCGTCACAAGAGGTAGACCTCTCTCTCTACCCCTCGCCAGACAAATCCTAATAGCACTTACCAAGGTGAAGGCCAAATTCAGGAAGGGGCTCAGTATGTGTGTATGGAACAAGGGAATACTATCAGTAATGACACATTTCTGCTTTTTCTTTTCGACATCGTCATATTTTCCAATCAAAATCCCGCATACGTCATCATAAGAGTTTTTCAAACCATGCATAAGCATTTTCGCGTACGCAACGTTTTCTATACTAATTTCAGTCTCTTTCATTTTTTTTTTTTTTTTTTTTTTTTTCCTTTTCGATGATGTAAATTGTGCGGTTACTTACTACTCTGTGAGGGCAAATGCAGAGGCGCGTGTGTTGTATGCACTTGTAAATAAATTTAACTTCTGTTCAATTTTGCCTCTACGTGGAACTGTCCAGTTAAGGCAATCAGCTTATCAGATGGACAAACGCGTATACTTCCGCATACTTCCTGGCAGAGTAGTAAATCCTCATCTTCTGATGCGTCACTTTTGCGTCGCCCAAGTGGTATTCACTTTGCTGGAGAAAAACAAAACGTCGCTTATCAGCATGCGTAAAAATGTAACTATTTGGTAGTGCCGATAAAAATATAAAAGGAAAATCTTGTTCCACTCAGTTGTATATTTAGACGGAAAGAAGAAAAATGGAAAGGGTCGCTCCTTGTGATATATCCTTAGCTCTGCTGCTACTTCTGCTTCCTCTTCGGCTGCAGTTGGAGACCCTTTGCTTGATTATACCCTGACGCATTTTAACGAAACCTCGTACTTTACGTTCCTACGCGAAATTAATTCTCCTCACGTTTGGCCCGTTGAAGGGGACGACTCGACGGTGAATAACTCCGTGACGCGTGGCGCAACGCGTGAACCTCTTAAAGTGGAAGAACGCGAAAATGGGAAAAATTGCAGAAAGGCAAATGTAAAAAGCACAGAATGAAGAGGAGGGGAACAATCGTAAAGGTGCCCTTTGCCGAGGGCAGGTAAAAGGGGAAAAAACTGCCAGCAAAGCGGAGGATCCAAAAAAAAAAAAAAAATCTATCTATAATACATAATATTACATTTATATATGCGTACGGCGCGTTACACAACGTGCATGTTAGATGGATAAGCCGCTTAGCATTCCCCATATAGACATTTGCTGCCCCTTAGGGATGATTTCACCATTTTGGCATTGTAAAAAAAAAAAAAATCCCGGATGGGTTCATATAACTTCCGTGCACAAATGAGGATGCATACAGGAAGGTGCAAGAATGTGAGACCCCAATCCGTCGATGGAAGAACAACGCACGACCCTTCATACCATTTGATAACTCATTCGAGCAATGAAAACCGAGAAAAATAGTTTTAGAAGAGAACATACACAGTGAGGTGTTTACAATATTCTAATCATAGTAGTAGCAATGTGGGGAGGGGGGGAGAATGTGACCCTCAGTTTAGGGTTAAGCGAATAATTCATATGATTAAAAGGGTTTTTTTTTTTTTCTTTTTTTCTCCCTTAAAATTGCATACGTTATAATTTGCCGACCAAACGTTACCCCTTATAAGAAGAACGGCCTGAGCAGAGCTCCACTTTTTGTGTATACACCAACCGATTCTTCCAGTAGGGGGGAGGAGGACTACAAATACAACAAAGGGGAATACACGCATGCAAGAATTTTTGTATGCATGTATATATTGTAGGGTGGCATTGACCACGCCGAAGTTGATGCTATTTCGTGCACAAGGACGCCCCCTCGACGTTCCAAGGTGTAGTTGAATTGACGAACGTATATCAAACGCGCATACCTCGTTTCGTTGTCAAATACGTAGGGGAGAAAGCGCCAGTTGGCCAGCTCACATTCGAAGAGTGAATGGACCTACAGCCCCCGTGTGCAGTTCCTTCGAGAGTGCAACAAGGGGAATAAAAGTTGGGAGAAAGAACGGGAGAGTACAAAATGGTGTAAATCGGACCCCTCACCAGGTCTAGCCCGCAGTAAGCATCGCCCGCGTGAAAAAACGGGGAGACGTGAGGGGCGTAACGCGGAACAGCCGCATACTTGACGAAGCGTTCAATCGGGGGAGAAAACGGGTGACTCTCCTCGCGGACGAAACGGCTACGATCTGTTCGTGTTCACATTTGGTCCTGCCGCGACCTCCGGAACCTACGCCAACACCGCCACCTCCGCCGCCAAGTACAACCCCACTCGCCCACACGATGTATGCGGACCGAATCCCAGTGGCCTGCTACGGGGACAAGAAGATCCCCAGCAAGCTCAAGTACTTTTTCAAAGAAGACCTGTACGAGCTGTCCGACGTGAAGCTGGACGAGCGAATCAACCTGCTGCGAATCCACCTGAAGTATGTGTTCTATGACAACCCCTTATCTGAGTACTTCAAAAATGAAGGCAACCCGCTGTCGGAAAAGTCCCTAATTTATATTTATTTCCTTTGCCTTAACAATTTGGAAGAGTACAGAAATGAAAAGGAGTACATTTTAAACCGGTACAAAGACTCAGGAAATGAGGAAAACGACGAATGCATAATTATTTATGCGTACAACTTGGAGGATAACATGAACGAAATTAAAAATATTAAAAAAATAAAGTCAGACTTCAGTCACAACAGTTATAAAAGCATAAAAATATTGTCCCTGCCAATCCTGAAAAATGAAGATTACGACGATTCGAACAACAAAATGAAAGAATTGTATGAACACTTTAAAATACGATATATGGATCATTTGAAAATTTGTATAGAAAAAAAATATCACTTGATAAGGAGTGGGTACACAAAATGCATGACGAACTTTTTAAATTTCATAGATCATAGTAAAAAATCGCTTGGCGGAGAGAAAAAAAAAAAACAAAATTCACAAAAAAGTAAATTTCATCTGACTGACTTTACGTACCAAGTGGGAAGTGGACAGGAAGAAAATCAAATTCTTCAGTTTGTCAATTTTTATAAAAAACATAACGTCTTCTCATTCTGCAACGAATTTTTAGATATCAATTTCTTTTTAAAAAAAAACGATTTGTTCTCATACATCAATGAAATAGAGTTTGTAACAGATTATGACGAAGAGGTGTACATAGAATTGTATGACCATTTTTTACTCCTCTTCATATGGTGTGAAAATCTGTGTCTACTTTTCTGCAAGTTAAACCTTTTTAAAAAAAGTTACGTCCTCTACAGCACGATGGCAAAATTGTTCATCAAACATTTAAACGTGTTTGTAAAAAAAAAAAAATGCTTCATCCATTCGTCCATCCTGTTCGAAAAAAATTATCTTACCTTAGCTAGATACATAAGGGAAAGGAACATATGCTCCATTCACTTATTGGAATACATTTTTTTTAAAAAATTTTCGCTTCTTCTTTTTTTAAATAAATTTTCCTACCTTTCCAATAAGGCTTTAAGGTTTTCCCAATTTTTTTACACCAATAAGGTTTTTATCTTCATGCATAATTTCAGCCGATTTAAAAACAGCGTCATTAGGAATTCCACTCAGATCAGCTACTTGAAGAATATCCAGAGGAAAGTCACAAAGTATCGCCGCCGGGACCTCCTAGGGAGCGCCGCGGCCAGGGTCCCTCCCCCGGGGGGATCCCAGCGAGGGGAAAACCAAAGGGATGCGAAACGTGATTCAGTCGAGGAAGACAATCCCAAGAGTGACAACAACAGCTCGCTGGAGCAGGCGCAGCGGGATGGTACTCCCAGGGGACACTCCACCATCGTCGATAAAAACCTTGGAAAGCACAAAAAGAGCCTCATAAGCGAGTTCAAGGAGGTGTTCAGAAAGGGCGTAGGCAACGTGGACAGCGCGGTTAGAGCAGGGGGGCACGGCGACGCCGTGGGTGAGCACATGGGCCAAGGCCTGCACGGACGAGAGGAAGATCACCTAGAAGATAACTGCATAAAAGAGGACACCCTAAAAGAGGACAGCCTGAAAGAGGGCAGCCTAAAAGGGAACAGTCTAAAGGAGGACTACCTAAAAGAGGGTAGTCTAAAGGAGAACTTCCTAAAGGAGGACTGCCTAAAGGAGGAGTACCTAAAAGAGGACAATCTACAGGATGACGGCCTCTTGAACGACGGCAACCTCGCAAGCGAGAGCCCCGCAAAGACGGCCTCCAACGACCTGTCCATGCGCCCTGGTCACAGCAGCCGCGGAGACCACCTGGGGGAGTTCCCAGACGAGCGAGACAAAATCACGTTCCTTCTCAAGTGCTGCTTCATGAATAAGGAAAATTACTTCGCCGTTTACTTTTACAACTTGGCTAACCTCATCAAGTTCCTCTTCGAGCGAAGGAGCTCCTTTTACCAAGAGGAGCAAAAAAAAAACAAAAGCGATAAAAGTGTGAAGAAAAACAACACCAATATTAGCAAGTACCTATCGCTGCAAAAGAATATTATGAAATTGGGATATAAGAAAAATTTTTCCAAAAAAAAAAAATCGAAAAAAAATTTGAAAATTAAAACGAAAAGGAGCAATTCGTTAAATGACTCATCCACATCGCAGTTGTCTTCCACATTGTCAGAGCCTTCGGATGTTAAAAACAACAACTACAGTTTTTACCAGCACAACGATTTCTTCATAAACGTTTCAAACATTTTTAAACTCTCATTTGTCATTTTAAAAAATATAATAAATAGCTACAAAACAGACAAATTATTCGACCAGAGAAATGCAAAAAAGGTTTACTTGCTTAACTTCTTTCTTCATTACTTGGAAGAAAAACAGTTTGAAAAAAATATACTAAAGGAAGATACTACGCAGCAAGTGAAAAATGGGAAAAAAAATGTCTACCACACTTTCCCAATATATCATATAAAATTTTTTTCAAAAAATAACGAAAAAGAAAAAAATAACTTACTTATAAGCATTATGAATAAAATAACCAATTTGTGTTATAGAAAATACGGCAACATTGCGATGATTAATAAATTCTTCTTGGCAATTATTTTATCTGAAAGATCAAAATGCAACAAGTCCTTGAAAATTTTAAAAAAAATCATCCAAAAATGTAATCACGATTTTGTTATCTTTTTCTGTATGCAACTTATTTCTTTGCACAAGATCAATAACCAATTTTATCATTTTTGCTCCTCTTTTTTTTTATCCAACAAGTACACACCTATTTGTTCCTTCAAAGATGTTAATATCAATTTTGCCAAGGTTGGCCATTATCAGGATTACCTCTTTTTTCTCGACACGAAAAATTCCCTCCTACAAATTGAGCAGGACAAATATTATGGGAACGATTTTTTTTCTTCCCTCGGCAAGGACATCGTTGTGTCTTATCGCGACGTAATGCAACATGTCATGAGATCCGTAGCCACAAAGGCAAAAATGCACCTGTCAACTGTGCACACACAAGTGCTGCCCCAGGGAGGAGGCATGATCCGGAGGGGAGTACCCAAGGAGGGCGAAGAAATTGGTGGCCACTCCCAAAAAGGCACCTACAGGGGAACCACTACCCCCACGAAGGTAGACAAAAACAAAGTAATCAAATTTGAAAGGAAGGTGTTTTACCAGAACAACTACTACTTCGAGCCGAACGCGGGATTTCTCAAAACCCTGCGCAGGTTTAACTTCTCCGTTTCGAAAAACGATGAACATGGCGAGATACATATCCCCCACTCGGATGTGAAGATCTTTGTGCAGTCGAATTATAACCTCTACCTCTTCGCATCCAACATGCTCTTTGGAAACTTCGGCGAAGAGGACGAAGCGGTGGATTGCACCCGTCTGCCCCACATCGGAACACTGCTACGCCTAAAAATACAAAAGTACGCCCAGAAGCAGGGGAAAGGCACAGGGAACAAGGCCCACCCACCCAGAGTAAAGCAGCTATGTGTGCAGTACGACGAAAACATCGACATCTTTGTCTTTTCCGCTCTCTCGCAAAATCTTCTCATCGATAACGTAATGATTGAGCTATACGACGAAAGGGAAAATAAAAAGTTGCACTTAAATTTTGCCAAAAAAAAACATGTTATCAAAACGGGATTAAATCTAATTAAGTTAAACATATCAAGCATTCTTGAATGCAGTCAAATAAAATGGAAGAATTTTTACTACAAAATTAATTATGTGTTCCTCCAAGTGAATCACTTCTGCTTCTATCAACAGCTGGGGATACTTCCCAATGGAAACATATTGACTCCCTTTTTAAATGTCTACACGGAATTTATAGCATCCAATTATATATTATATGAGACTAAGAAATACGCGACCTTCTTTCTGGATCAGTTAGTTTCTCCTCTTTACATAAAAGTAAAAACGTTACAATCCGTTTTGAATTGCCAATTGGTAGCATCATATTTGAACGACACATCTTTGGTTTACAACAGCAGGAACTATGTCAAGCTGATTGTGTCCAATTCTCATAGGCATGTCGACTCGAGGGAGGAGAACGAGTTCATTTCCACCCAGAGGGACACAACAGAGGGGGACCCCCATGTGGACATTCGCACCACCAGCAGCTGCAATCAAATTAAAAACGTCCACCTCTTCGTGCACAACAAGAGCCAAGGCTCCGATCTCCAGCACATGAGCGAAAAGTTCACCCTACCCGATTCGGTCTTCTTCGTCATCGAAGCAAACGACCACGTACAAATTTCGGAACCGAAGGTTTTAAAACCAGAGCACACCTGTTTTACAAAACCCGGGGACACAAGTGAATGCCCTGTTGAAAAAGGAGAAGGTGATTATCACAACCGGTGTGACTACGGCCACAGGGGGGAAAGCAAGAAGGACTCCTACGCAGTTATATCATTTGTCCCAGTAAGGACAAACAACCCTAACGTGGTTAGCAGTGAAATGGCTGAATTCAATTTTAATAGTGAGAAGAACCTACACAGCTGTTATTCAGCTGATGGGCCTTACTCCAACCCAGACAAGGTAAAAATTAAATGCGTGATAAACATCGATTTGGGAGAAAAAAAAAGGAGACAAAGGAAAACAGACTTGTATGAATTATCAAATGTGAATTATGTTGGACAAACCAAATTCGATCATTTTATTAACCTAGAAAAAGGCTCGTCATCCCATCCACCATTTAATAACCAAATAGTGATTGACAAAACTTTCCACCTTGCTAACATTTTTAATGAAAAAATTAAAACCTACAGATCGAAAAACACCATGTTGTATGAATTAATCTTAAAGCTACATAAAGATAACTATTCTGTTTTTTTAAAAAAGTTTCACGTTTCTATTAGGAACAAGGGCGATACAGATATAACGGGTGCAAAGATATTTCTTCTCAACGGAGACAATGGGGGACTTGTCCCGAGTCACTCCCTGGGCACGGGGGATAACAGCTCCAATGAGATGGCTCAGCTGCAGGCGTACACCCTGGGGGCCGGCAGACCGGGCGAAAAGGAGGCGCAGCAAGAGGGGGAGGAATTGAAGCAGGAGCAGGAGGCGAAGGAGACGGGGGAAAATGACGTGATGGAAGTGAAGGAGTCTGCGGAAGGTGACTTGATGGAAGTGAAAGGGTCACTGAAAGCGTCAGTGAAAGATGACGTGAGGGAGGAGATTAACGTAAGGACGAACGACGCCATTAACCACGGAATGAACCACACCATTAACCACGGGATGGACGATCCACCTGACCTAGACACAACGTGTGTTATTGGCGTGGTGGGGAAGGACGCCCCAGCCCAGGGCGCGGACACCCCGAACGAGTCGGACGCGAGCAACGTCAACCTGTGGAGCGCAAACCAGATGCAGGAATCTGGCGCGAGCAGCTTGAGTCTACTCAGTGCAAACGATCTGAACGAGGAGGGGGGCGGGAAGAGAAACCCAAGCAACGAAGTGAGCTACTTTTATGACGAAATTGACATCAACAGTTACATCCACGGAGGGATGAGTTTGTTCTTCCTTTTCGAGGTGACCTACGGCGGTGCGCCGAAAAGTGCCGTTCATGATGATCGTAATAATGGGTGTGATAATGATCACAATGGCCGTTATGATCATCAGAATGGCACAAATCTGCTAATCCACGAAAGCATGACAGGAACCCTGTGTGTCACATATGAATATCGAAGCCTCCTGATCATAAAGCCATTCGAGAGGAGCCCGAATGAATACATTTACACCCTGGATGTGCCGATCCCCCCATTCCTGCTGCCAATTAATGTGCACTATGAGATTCCAAAGTGTGGGACGCTACACACGTCGCTCAATGTCAAGATTGTCTTGTCCAATAATATGCGGGAGGATATTTATATGAAATATTTTGTATACCAGGAGGAGAGAGAAAAAAATGGTCAGTCTGAAGGTGACGATGAATACAATTGGCTAATAAATGGATTTAAAAAGAAGATCCTCTTTTTGCCAAAAAATTCCTCACATGTCATTAATTTGATTATCCTTCCTTTAAAAATTGGCTTAATTAAATTCCCCCCAATTTTATATTACGTAAAATTAAATGACAGGTGGGTTGAAGTAACTGAAGTTTTGAAGAAGAGCGAGAGCTTTCAACTTATCATTTCGCCCTCCCTGCACTTTAGTCCCAAGGTGTGGCAGCTGGCATAGGGTGGTCTAGCGAGGGGGAGTAATACACAGAAGTTACAAAAATGCAACAAATGGTGTGACCTTTTTTTTTTTTCAAATTCCTGTGGTGGATGAATTGGCCTTGCGCCCTATCCCCATGTTGCATCCCTCTTTGGCTAGCTACTTCTTTACAGAGGAATCTTCCATTCGATGGAAAGCACCCTTTCCCCCTTTGCAGTTCGCGCAGAAAAATATTGTCCACAATTTTGATGAAACATTTTTAAAAAATGGCAGTTCCCCTTTTTTTTATATGTACGAATGACCCCGATTTGTTTGACACCAGGAATGGGCGACTGTGAGAACGCATCAGCTTGTTGCCTTAGGGGGGCACAGGTCTTCGCGTGCCAAATGGAGCGTATCATTGGGGCTGTTCTAAAGGCACGTATGAGCTTACATAAGTGTGCAGACAAACACAAAGAAATGCGTTAGCCCCATTTGATGCCCCCCATATCATGGTATTTTTTATTCTCAATCTTTCCGTTTGTATCTTCTACCTCTTCTTTTTTTTTTTTTACCCCCCTTGATAACATAACGGATTAAAGCGATCTGACCCCGTTCCGTTCCTTTTTTTTTTTTTTTTTGTCATTTTTAAAACGAAACAACTGGAAAATTTGCACCTAATTTGTAGTTGCACTTGTGAACGCGCGTCTGTTCTAATCGCGCTCACCGCGAAGGTTGCGAAAGTTGAGAAAAGTTTAAACCGCTTAGCATACAATTGGTAGCGAGGTGTAGATCCGTATGGGGGCTTATCAGGTGAGCCACCCTCAATATTGGTATAACTCCATCTCCCTGTCAAACAGCTACGTTGTTCTGCCGCAAGAGGGATATTAACTGAGGCTAATTTTTTCTTTTTTTTTCTTTTTTTTTCGTGCGGTGTGACCCCGTTTGCGTCACTGCAGCAAGGTAAACACTGCGCATACATTCTCATAACGTTGGAGGGGCATATAAATGTACACGCCGCGTAAATACACAACCATGCGGAGGGAACTTCTCCTTTCAGCAACCTCGTTTTGGTGAACTTGAGCGTGTTGTTACTCACTTCGGGCAATAGGATAATCGGCGAACAGGGGGAAGCGCCACACTAGAGGGGGAGGGGCACAGAACAATGAATTTGCGCAACTTCCTTTGCAGCCAAGCACAACGCGCGCTAGTAAGAGGGTGCTATTTCGAAGGGAAAAAACTCTCCTTCACGGGAAAGTGCTTCCTCACCAATGAAGCCAAACCATTTAAGGTCGGAATCATTGGAGCTGGCCCGTCGGCCCTCTACTGCTGCAAGCATTTACTAAAACATGAAAGAGTTAAAGTTGACATTTTTGAGAAGCTACCCAACCCCTATGGCCTCATCAGGTATGGAGTGGCCCCCGATCACATTAATGTGAAGAATACGTACAGAACTTTTGACCCTGTTTTTTTAAGCGCCAATTACAGATTTTTTGGAAATGTGCACATTGGGGTGGACTTAAGAATGGAAGAACTTCGGAACCACTACAACTGTGTCATTTTCTGTTGCGGCGCGTCTGAAGTGTCACTGCCCGTTGTGCAGAAAGATGAGGACAACGCGCTTAGTGAGGGAGGAACCCAGGACGGAAAACAGAGCGGCCTTTTCCATGCAAGGGATCTTATCTACTTTTACAACAACATGTATAGCGACATGCGATGCACGGCAGTGGACAATTACCTAAATTCATTCGAAAATTTCACCACCTCCGTCATCATAGGGAACGGAAATGTGTCTCTTGACATAGCACGCATATTGATAAAATCCCCCGATGATTTAAATAAAACAGACATCAGTAATGACTACCTGAAGGTGATAAAGCGACACAACGTTAAACACATTTACATTGTTGGGCGCAGGGGATTCTGGGAGTCATCCTTTACCAATGCAGAGCTGAGGGAATTAATTTCGTTAGAGAATACCAAAGTCATTTTAAGCAAAAAAAACTATGACCTCTGCTGTCTTTTAAAAAGCGATGAGGCAAATACAAATATGAAAAGAAGGCAACATGAAATCTTTCATAAAATGGTAAAAAACTACGAGGAGATGGAAAAAAATAAAGAGTTTTACAAAACACATAAAATTATCGAATTCATTTTTTACTTCGAAATAAAAAAAATACGACCCATCGACAGTGCCATGAAGAATGTAGAATTTGAACTGAACAAAAATGTCCCCATGTCCTATTCGACTTTTAAAGAAAACAAAGTTATGGTAACTCCACTGGTCATCTTCGCTACAGGATTTAAAAAAAGCAACTTCACCGAAGAATTGTACAATCAATCTGTTCAAATATTTAGGGAAGATATAGGGCAGCACAAATTTGGCATTTTCAAGGCAGGGTGGTTTGATACAGGACCCAAGGGAAATATAGCTAGTCAGATTTTGAACTCAAAAAATTCTACACATCTAGTTTTAAACTTCCTCCAGAAAGTGGACACCTTTTTTGACAATGACATTTCGATGTTGTTACAGGAGAAACAAATTCCCTATGTTTCCATCGATGACTGGACTTACCTCCACCAGCTGGAGAAGCAGATGGGGGCGCAGCAAAACAAAATTGGCCAAAAGTTCTCCCAAACCGGGGAGGTGTTGCGTGTACTGAAGGACAGAATGGGGGGAAGCCACTAAATGGGGAGCAGTGAATGCGGAGCAGTGAATGAGGAGCAGTGAATGAGGAGCAGTGAATGAGGAGCAGTGAATGAGGAAGAAGCGACCCTTTAAATGTGCCCCTTTCGCGTAAGGGAGGAGGAGCCTCTTCAACGCGCTGTTAGCCGTAGGCCCTCCATTTAATCCTCTCTGCTTATTTTTGTACCCATGGATGAGCACATTGATACTTCGTGCATCTCCCACCACTGGGGTGTATTTAGAATAGAATCGAAAGAAGTGTCACCTCCTATCTTCTGCCACTCATCCCGTAAAAGTTTTCCCCCCCATTATTCTTTTTTAACGTTTCAGTTTTGAGAGTCCTCTTTTCTTTTTTTCGTAATTTTTCCATTTATCACATTTGATATGTACTCGAAAAGGTTAGCCATTCGCACCATTTGTGCCATTCGAACTATTCACACTTTTCTCACGCAACGGTAGACCCCGGTTGCCATGCTACGGGGTGTCTGGTGGGGCCACTACAGTACTTCCTCCCCCTTCGAGTACGCCAAAAAGTGCAACTTCGAGAAAAAAAAATTCGTCTTGAAAATGTCCCTCACAAATGAGCTCTTTATTTCTCTGATGAAGCCTTCTGCAAATTGTATGCGTGCCCATATGATGAACCCCCTACCGCTCGTTTACGTACGAAATGTAGGCCGGCAGAAATTCCCATACGGGATCCTTTTTTCGTGGGACAACCCTTCCATCCTTCACCAGAACTGCATCAAAATCGTAATTCTTTATGTCAGCCCGTTTCAGTTCGAACACGGGGATTTTTACCTTCACCCTTCGGTAACTTGGAATGTAGCATTCGCTTCTCGTGTTCCCCTTTTTTTTGTATTCTTTTTTGCCTCTCAAATTTATTTGAACGCCAACCGACCGTTTGCTCACACTTCTGGGTGCATTAATCTTTCTATGTTCACACAACTTTTCCCCGTATAAATTAGGCTTCTTCGGAGGCATATAGCAATTTGGATCATTAAAATCGTTTCTTCCTTCTCGATTTTTCTGCATGCACATGTGGATGTAATGGTCAGCCTTCTTATTAGGCGCATTTCTGTTTTCACTTTGTCTGCACTGCTCAGGGGGCTCACTAAAACTCTGCTTCCTAATCAGGGGTGATTTTAAGCAAATTTTATTGTGGCCACATTTGTTCAGGTTATTTCTTTTCCCATACAGGGGGAGATATTGGGGCCCTCGTGCTTTGGATAAGAAGTTCCGGTGCTGATAGTGGTTAAGTTTGCCATCGTCATGGCCATTTTGATTACTATCGCCATTTTCATCATCATCGCCATTTTCGGGTTCACTGCTATGCAAGTCCCCAATCTCGCTCTTTTCGTAGCCGCTGCTGGTGATCAGCTCGTCTGCAGTTTGGTTGTCCTGGTTTCTTTCCCATTCGCCAGTTTGCGCGTTGTTCCCCGTGGAATAATAATCAAAAAGGGGGGTATTTCTTTGGGGATCGAATCGGCTGGGCTTCCTTTTGACCTTTCCCGCACGGCCCACTTTTCCTGCAACGTCCCCTTTTTCCACTTCGCCACTGCGCTTCTTCGCTTTATACGTATCCCTGTGCGGGGAGTTCCTATCCCCTACGCCCCCAACAAGCACAAATGACAAATTTCCAGCTGAGCAGCCCCTCCCCTGAGTAATCACATCCCTTTTCTTATTGGTTAAACTCATTTTTTTCAGGTGTTCCTTTTTGGAGGTACTATTCCTATAATTAGAATTTACGCCCCCCTCCGGCGTGTCACTCTCCTTTACTGTTTTCTCCGTTTCGCCAAATGTTGTGTCATTCGCGGATTCACTCTTTCTGTGATTCTCACCCGCGTGGGTGTCTATTTGATTGTCATTTGACTCTTGTTCCGCTTCGTTCTCCCTGTGACTTTCCCTCTCTTCTTTGGCTTCCTCTTCATTCGTGTGATCTTTCTTCGTGGTTAATTCATCCGTCCCTTCAAAAGGGTCACCCCTTTCGCCTACGTCACTTGCAGCATCCTTCCCTGGATGGAGAGAATTCTCCCCTGTTGCTGCACATCCTAACAGTTTGTCATTCGATTTATCGCTATAAAAGTTTAATGGCCTGCTTTGCCCCTCTTCTGTGTTGTCGCTTAGTTCTATGCTATGGCTAAAACTTTTTTCTTCCTCAAAAGATATGTCCGATTCTGTTCTAATATTAATTTTGTACTGCTCGAAAATTTTTTCTTTCTTCCCAAATGTTTTGTCGTCCGCGTCGGATGTGCTTGAGTCGAAGCTTTGGAAGTTTTCCAAATCGCTCGTTAAGTCGTCATCTCCATGGCTGGATGCGGCATTGTCATCTGCGATATTGCCATTTGTGACACAGTCATCTGCACCATTATCCCCTGCGCGTTTGTCAGCCGCGCACTTTTTACCCTCCTCAGGGGTGTCACTTTTGTTAAAAACTTCCCCCTCTTTCGGGATTGCCTTGATGCCCGCTTCAAAACAGTCAATAAAATACTCCTTGTCACTGTCTACATCACTGCCTGGGTTGTACAAAGCCCAATTCGTATTTTTTTTTTCCATTCTTTTTAAGTCCCTCTCCTGACCATCCGAGTAAAAATTCGATTCGCTCAAATCGCTGTCTGTTGACAACATATCAATTCGAAGAATTTTCATTTGCCTTTTGTTGTATAATGCAAATGTGTCTTTTCGTTTTGTTTTGTTTTATTTTGTTTTTCAACGAGCTTTATTTCTGTGCTTTGTTTTTACTTTTTATTTTTCAGTTTACACATTCGTTACAGCATATACCTTTGTACGTATTTTTGCTGAAAAAGAATTGTTCATGATGGGCTAGTTTTTTTTTTTTTTTTTCCATGTATACCTTTTTTACCAAACTTGCGCGCAAATTGGCTGCCTGTTACGAGTACCCGCTTTGGCATTTTTTTCCTTTTTTTCTTCTTTTTTAATTTTTTTACATTTTAAAGCAGCTTGTGGACATGTGAAGTGTAACTTCCGTTGTTTTCGCAGAAGGGGGTGATGAGATGCTCCCAGTTTGTGCCATTCTTCATTTTTCTGTCGAAAAAAAAATAGAGCTGTTCTGGGGCGAAAACAAGGGGAAGATGATCAGATGGAGGCTTAAAAAATTGGGCCAAAAAAAGAGGGAAAAATGAGAAAAAAAAAAGAAAAAAAAAGAGGAAAAAAAAGAGGGAAAAAGGAGGAAAAACATAATCCCATATCGAGCACCAGGCCGTGGTGTGCGAAACGCCCTCTTCATTTTCTCACCTTCGAAGGGCTGCAAAAAAAAGGACGCCTGGCTGCATAGCAAGAGAGTAGTTGCATGCTTTTTCGAAAAGCTGGCCATTCGAAAAAATATTCTCACGAAGAAAATTCTCCAAATTCGTTTTTGTCGCGGAAACTTCCGACCAACTCTCATTTCTCTAATTATAAATTTTTTGAATATCCATGCACGCGCATAGTCCCAGGTTCTCCTATTTAGACATAATTACAGCTCACAAAGTTAGAGCGTCCAGGTACCTATGCTACCACCATTTTAGTAATATGGGCTTCCTACGATGGTACATGTACCCACTCAAGGAAAGAGTTCCTCCCGCAGTTTATGCGACTTACATTGTATCACGAAGAGGCCGTCGGTTTGCTTCAAATCAAGGTGTAACCCACTTAAAATGTAAAAATGGCAGCTTCTTTTAAAGGACCCCATTATTCACATAAAACGTGAACCATTTTGTCCATTCCTTTTTGTGGCTTTCGTGAGGATATACGTCAAGGCGACGAACGAGTGACAGAAGGTGACACACTGGGGTGTAGTGAAAACGTTCCAGGTGGGTCTCGACACTGTGACCACTACGTCAATTTCGCATTCCACTTGTGCAAGTTGGCATTTAAAGGAAGTCACGTGGGGTCCCCACGGCTGAGCAGCAAAACGAAGTGGGTTGCATAATTTTGCACAATCCTTTTAACTGTACATCGGATCGGGGTCTTTAAATTATAGGGAAAATTCCCCCCGATGGTAAAAAGTTTTTAGCGTAATTGGGCCATCTATCTCATTTTTTCTTTACTATCCCAATTTGGCTTCCTTTTGGACCTTAATGA